GTGATGAGATGTCCAGTCATGAGTATACATGTATGAGTCATTCCTAAGTCACTTTAATTTCCATGATTTAAGCATTCTAACAAGTATATTTAAATCTTCAGTCTCATTTCCAGTCATTTAAGCATACTTATTCAGAGATTCCTTAAAATTAAGAGAACTATTTCCAGGTGGACATGTTTAGCACTTGTGTCAGCATAGCACCTTCTGTAACATATACATAATAAATCATAGGGCAAAATAAATCAGAATATTTTTAAATTAAATATTGGAGGTCTGGGCAAATTAGGATACTATAGAGTTTTTTAATCTGTATAAAATAAATAGTTGAGTCCCTGTCTATTATGCTTCCCCCAAAGCAAACTGAGAAGTAGCACTGAAACTTTTAAAATCTAGTAAAAAAGGTGCTAAAACGTCAACTTTTCTCTAAATGTATTTAAGATAAATATATTAGTTTATTTCCCTGATGCCATAAAATATTGTCATTCAAATAAACCCATACTGACCATTGAAACAAACAGTATCTCTAGTCTGTTCTCATTAAAACTGTATTTCTTTAACAGTTGTCTACTGTGTGCTGATAGAGCTAAGAATGCTTTGTGAGTGATTTTTTAAAAATATATTTGTTTCTTAGAACTGTATGAATAATTCAAGCAAGGAATGCTTCCTCCTGAAATAAATATAGCCAGGAAATAATGAATTTTGCCTGTTAAAACAAATTTAAAAATTGATGCTAAATTGAAAAGAAATATTGCTGACGTGGAATTAAACAGATAAGGCTTGGTGTATATCTCCTTATATTAATGGAACAGAGTGGAATGTAATTAAAAGCAAATAATCTAAAACTCCTCAGGAATAATACTTCCTTTGTTTTCAATCATACTTTCAATCTGAAATAACATTATACTGTAAAGAAATACGCTGAGCCTGAAGGGAATTTTGATAATGGCACATTTTAAAATCATCAGCAAAGCAGTTAATGAAATCAAGAAGCTATTATTTGAGAGGAAAGGCTCCCCCCCCCCACCCCAATAGGGCACAGAGAAAGGTAGCTTTTCAAAGAAAACTTCCATGACTTCCTATTTTATTCCTTGTGGCTTTAAAATCTACTTGGTATTCACATATGGTTTTGTCTAGCAATGGCAATCCACCTATGGAAACTTCAACACACAAATTGTCCTTTGGGATGCAACCCTAGTAGTGGAAAGTGTCGTCAAGTTGCAGATGACTTATGGTGACCCTGTAAGGTATTCAAGGCAAGAGACAAAGAGAGGTGGTTTGCCATTGCCTGCCTGCGCATAGCAACCTTGGTCTTTCTTGGTGTTCTCCCATCCAAGTACTAACCAGGGCTAACCCTGTTTAGCTTATGATATTTGATAAGGTCATGCTAGCCTGGGCCATCCAGGTCAGGGCAGATGTTAGTCTACAGGAACGAAATGGTATGTGGTGGTGGGGAGAATATAGCACCCCAGGCTACAATCTATTGTCTCCAAACATTTCTTTGGATAGTGAAGATTCTGATATTAGGCACAAGCACTCAATACTTTCAAAGCCAAAAAACCTGCAGCAACTATCTGTTTGGGCAGGGAGATCATCAAAGTTCACTATATGCACATAGCACAATGCTATATGGGAGGGTCTCTGAGCTGGAGCCAAGGTCTTCATCAGACTCCATGATCTAAAAGTGGCATTCTCACAGTCATACTTTGACACCATAGCTCTGTAGAAGAACATGTGCATTACAAGAAGTAGTGTTGCCAATCTCCAGGTGGGATCTGGAGATCTCCCAGAATTATAAGTGATCTCCAGATGACAGAGATCAGTCCCCTTAGATAAAACAGTTGCTTTGGAGGGTGGACACATTACAACCCATTCTTCCCAGGCACTGTCCCCAAATCTTCAGAAATTTCACAACCTGGGTTTGGCAACCCTATGAAGTAGGTCCCAGGTCCCATCCTTGGGATCTCAGGCAGCAAGACTTAAAAAGAATCCTGCCTGGGCACAGAGCATGCAGCTTCATATGACAGGTTTCTAGACAAATGTAGCTAACTTTTCATTCTAACACCTAAGTGACAGTAAGAGTATCTTCAAGAATACAAGGACTGCCACTATTTTACTGGTACTTTTTTACTCGCTCAGAACAGATGAAGAGCTTGGGGGTGCTCATGGACCCTGCCTTGCTGTTTGAAAAGCAGGTTGACATGGTGGCCAGGCACTAGAGTAATCAACTCTGGTTTGGGGAAATTCCTGGAGGTTTGGGTGGTGCCTTGGGAAGATGGTGTTTGGGGAAAGGAGGAAGCTCAGCAGGGACGCAATGTCACTCTAGTCCTTCAGTTTTTCATAGAGTCTATAATATACCACAGAATCTCTCCTCTGTTGTCTTTTCATCCAGAGGAACTGTTCTTTCATCCTGAGGAACTGTAGTCTGGAAGTAAGGGCTAACTCCAGGAGAACCCCAGGTTCTACCTGGAGGCTGGCAATCCTACCAGGCATGCCTTCTGCATCTAGTTCGCCAGCTGTTTTGTTGCCTAGACTCAGACAATCTGGCCACACTGATCCATGCTTCTGTAACCTCATGGCTGAATTATTGCAATAGGCACTACATGTGGCTGCCCTTCAAGACAACCTGGAAACTACAACTAGTCCAGAATATGGCAGCCTGACTATTATCAACAGCTAGTCACTGGGAACATATGTTGCCCATTTTGAAACAGCTACATTGGCTGCCATTGCCAATCTGTTTTGCAATTCACTTCAAGGTGCTGTTTACCTGCCATGATCTGGGATCCAAATATTCAAAGGATCATCTCCTTCCATATGCCCTTGTGTACCAACTATGGTCTTTTAGCAACCATCTCTTGACTATCCCACCATTTCGGGTGGTCCGTCTGGCATCAATCAGGGCATGGGCCTTCTTAATAATGACTCCTGCTCTATGGAATGAGCTCCCTGAAGAGGGGAGCCCCCTTCTTAGGGATCTTCAGGAGGTGCTACAAGGTATTGGCTTGCTAGGACTTTAGAAGAGGTTTGAATGGTAGGCATCTTTAAGGAAGAGGTGGGTGGGGAGAGATTTAGCATTGGCTATTTTATTTTGGCTTTAACTGAAAATGTTTTTAATCTGTTATTAGAAGCCACCTTGAACCATGAGAAAAGGCAGGTGATAAATGTTTCAATAAATAAATGACAGTATGAAACCTAATGTTCTCTACCATCTGGAATATTAGTTGAGACCTAGAAAGACTGGGTTTGAATCTCTATTCAGCTTTCTGCAATTTACTGTCTCTTATTTTCAATCTCAGTTTGAGAATAATACTAGCCTACCATAGGACTGGTAAAAAGAAATCTTTTGGGGGGAAGGGTAAGATAATATTTGAATGTACAGCTAAAATGTGATTTTATAGATCTAAAAGACAGATTCATTTGGCTATTGTTTAGTACAGAAAAGCCAATGATTGATATGTATGCTAAACCCTTTCTAATGGTTAACCTAGATTTGTTTTCTGGAAGCAACTATCCTAAGATCTTTCTTCATTGAAATGTTACCATTCAGATTCCTCAGGTTTTCATAGTGATACTTAACACTCATGTTTAACTGGACTATAGTTTAGTAGCCTCCCTTCCTTTCTTCCCCCAGAAGGTTTTTTTTTTGAAGTCTGGAATATTTGTTCCTGAGGTTTTCTCCAATTTTTGATAAATTGATAATCTTGACAGTTTCATTTTATCGATATTAAAATAGCCACAGGAGAATTTTAAAGTAATCTAAAACTAACAACATTCAGAGTGTGTATGTGTGTGTTTCAGAGGTCATTTCGGGGGGGATCGTGGGGGAACGCAGTTCCCCCGGGTGAGGTGCGAGGGGGCGGGGCACTCGACAAAGCCCCGCCCCCTGATTCCAGTCGCCCCGCTTCTGGCCCTCATTCAGCCAGGAGGAGGCAGGAGAAGAGGGAGGGTAAGTTGCTTCCTCTTCCTTGGCGGGGCTTCCTCTCACTCCCGCCGGCCTTGCAGGTCCACCGCTGGGCCCCTGATGTCAGGGGGTGTGGCATATGCTAATGAGTTATGCTAATGAGTTCCCCTAGCTCTTTTTCTACGAAACGACCCCTGGTGTGTTTTAAAAAATAAAAAAAGCAAAATCTCCCAGATATGTATACACTCAGATTGGAAGTTCTGCAAAGATCTAGAGGTCCCTAAGTGTGAGGGTTCATGCTTCAAATAGTGATTTTATTTATTTATTTTATTGGACTTGTATCTCACCCTCCCGGCAAACAGGCTCAGGGTGGGTTCCAACAATATCAATACAATATACAATACAACTAAAACCACTTTAAAACAACAGATTAAAACAACACACGATTATAAAATACCATGTAAAATCTACTTAGATGTTTCAGCAATGAAAATGGGACAAGAGTGTGGGTTCCCAGATAGCTATTAAAATCCAGGCCACTGATGGAGGGGGGACCAAAAGCCTGGTGAAACCAAAAGAGCTCCATCTTACAGGCCCTGTGGAATTCCAGTAGAAATAGTCTAACAGACTTTGATTTTGATGTCTCTGTATTTTGGAAGCTGCAGAAAGTTTGCTTGCTACAAGTATTCTGGCTGTGAAATTTATTGCACTTCAAACAATTTGTTTTCACAAGGATTTAACCATGTAGCAACTACAAAAGTCATAATATTCTCCGCCCACTTTAATATCTAGTTATCTCAATTCATAATATGTTAGACAAGAATTATGTAGGCTACTAATCCAAAATCAATTGTGAGACTGCCCAATAAGAAGAGTCTCAGTCCCCAATACTCATATTTTAACAAAACCAAGGAATGACAGGCTGGAGTCCTATTGATAAATATGGTAGATTTTTTTTTTAACCTAGAAACAGTTAATGCAAGTAAATGTCATCATATCTTGCAGTTCATGTGTTAAGTGTGATAATTCATTATTTCCTTGGAACACCATTGTGCTGGCAGTCACTATTGCTTCATCTGTTTTTCTTGTATGTTTGTAGGTAGCAGCCAGTGAAGATGGGTGACTGGAGTGCTTTAGGAAGGCTTCTTGACAAAGTCCAAGCCTATTCTACAGCAGGAGGGAAGGTGTGGCTTTCTGTCCTTTTCATTTTCAGAATCTTGCTACTAGGGACAGCAGTGGAGTCTGCCTGGGGAGATGAGCAATCAGCGTTTCGATGCAATACCCAACAACCTGGTTGTGAGAACGTTTGCTATGACAAATCCTTCCCAATCTCTCACGTGCGGTTCTGGGTCCTGCAATTCATTTTTGTGTCTGTGCCAACCCTCCTGTACTTGGCACATGTCTTCTATGTGATGCGGAAAGAAGAAAAACTTAACAGGAAAGAAGAAGAGCTCAAGCTTGTCCAAAATGAGGGTGTGAATGTAGATATGCACCTCAAACAAATAGAAATTAAGAAATTCAAGTATGGGATTGAAGAACACGGCAAGGTCAAAATGCGTGGAGGACTGCTCCGCACCTACATCATCAGCATCATCTTCAAATCTATCTTTGAGGTGGCTTTCCTGCTCATACAGTGGTACGTTTATGGATTCACCCTGCAAGCCATTTATACTTGCGAACGAGTGCCATGCCCACACAAGGTGGATTGCTTCCTGTCCCGTCCCACAGAAAAAACCATCTTCATTATCTTCATGCTGGTGGTGTCTTTAGTCTCTCTCTCCTTGAACATCATTGAAATTTTTTACGTCACTTTCAAGAGCGTTAAGGATGGCATGAAGACAAAAAATGATCCTTTCTCTCCTAACAGCGGCTTGAGTCCCTCCAAGGAATGTGGATCCCCCAAATATGCATATTTCAATGGTTGTTCCTCTCCAACTGCCCCTTTGTCACCCATGTCTCCACCAGGATACAAACTTGTCACTGGAGACAGGAACAATTCCTCCTCTTGTCGTAACTACAATAAACAAGCCAGTGAACAAAACTGGGCAAATTACAGTGCTGAGCAGAACAGGATTGGACAGGCTGGGAGCACCATCTCCAACTCGCATGCCCAGCCATTTGAGTTTGCTGATGACCCCCAGAACAGTAAGAAAATGGATTCTGGGCACGAGCTACAACATCTCACTGTTGTGGACCAAAGGCCACCAAGCAGAGCCAGTAGTCGAGCCAGCAGCAGACCTCGACCTGATGATCTGGAAATCTAACCCTTTGTAGCCACAGTACTTATCACAACTATGCTATGAAATGCATTAGAAGATGCACATATGATTTCCATGCGGTTCCATTGGAGGTGGTACTTAATAGTCTCAGTCAGGAGATTTTAACAAACATAAAAAACTTGGGGAATTTTTTTAAAGTGGGAAGCTGGGGTGGTGTGGGGAAGTACAGCACATGTTGGTATTTAAAGTAGATGATTTAAAAATGTTTAAATGCTAATTTTTTTTAAAAAAAACTTAGTCAACACTACATTAGGGGGATTGGGGTTTGTTATTTGCTTTAGAAAGACTATAAATGAGTGGGAGTGTGTGTGTTTATAATATGCTGATTTTTCTAAAGAGTTTTGTTTTTGTTATACTAAAAACAAAAGTTAAATTGATTTTTTTTCCAAGATGAAATGGAGATGGTATTCTTTTACTAAAAACTGACAGTCTTACATCAGATTCTGATGATTTTCCTGTTAGAACATTCCATTGTTAAATTTTGCACTTTGAAGGAAAACTTCCTGGTATGGCCTTGTCAGTGACTATACAATTATGCAAGTATAATCTGTTTCCTTGAAATCAGTCAGCTACATTTCAGACAAGGCATACTTTGGCCATGTTTGCCTTATGATTCAAACAGATCTAATTCAGGGTGTAGAACAGAGTTCTTGTTCCTGTGCCATTGTTTTACCACCTCAGTGTCCTGCTGATCACATACAGCACTTGCCAATTGCTAGGAAACAGTTTGTCAGGTATGGTGTGAAGCTGGATAATCAAGCCATTTTTATTTAATATCATCACCTACATAGACTGCATATCTGTCCACAGTTAAGTCCCACTATTATTAGTGGCATTTGAACACTGTGATTAGAGTTATAGTCACTGGGTACAGTCCAGGATGATTAATTTGCTGGAAATTACTCCCATCAGAGTCTCTTGTGCATTGGGATGCATGCACAGAGCTCTGTCCATAAGAACCGTATCATTTACTTCAGTACTTTGAAATATGTACACCTCCACATCTTCAAGAGTATGAAGCACCCACTACGTACAATGAGCTTTCTACATAAATTTAGACACCTGCATCCATGGCACATTACTAGACTAGGCCAAGTGTATGGACTTGTGTGTTTCGTCAAAGGACAGGTATACATGGAGTTGAGAAGATATTAGTGAATGGTTCACTCTCACATGACTATACACACAAATACACATTCATGTGTCACTATGATGTTTACATTAAATGATTCCAATAAATATATCTTTTACCCATTTTTAACAATTGAAACAATATTTTGTATAGTCTGTAGCAGATGCTATAAATTTCTAAATGTAAGTACAATGATAAGATCCTGCAATTTTTGAAAAATTTCCCTATCAGTTCCAAAAAATGCCTAGTGTTGCTTGATTAAATTAAGAAGGAAAGTGTCTACTAGGCTACCTAGTCCATTTCTCTGACTTGTAATGACTTATGACTTATGCTTGAATAACATAAATGGTAGTACTGTGGTGGTGGTAGGGGGGTGTTAGCCTGCCAATAATGTGAGAGACTTGGGGACAATTTACACAACCACATTTATCCTGTAATAATTGCAGTTATCACATGATCATTCAAGGGTATGAAAAGATCATCATGGATTTTACATCAAGGACTGAGCAAAAAAAGCACTTGAAAACTGCAGCCTCAGACGATTGTGTGAATAGGACCCTAGAACAACTGCTTTGAGCTGTACTAATAATACATGTCTATGTCAGTTTTACAGTAGCAAGCACTTCTTGAGTGTGGTTCACATACAGATCAACTCAACTGTAACATGATGGTCTAATTCAGCTTTGATATTTCATTCCTTCTCAGTGACAGTTTTGATATTTGCACATAAATTTTGGGGAGTGCAAGTGAGGCTGAAAGAGTACAATTCTAATTTATTTGAAATATATTTGTTTTCAAACACAGTGCCTTTTACTTCAACACAATTCAACCAGGAGCACAGCCTGGTTTCATTTTGCAGCAGCACAGACTTAGGGATCTTATGATATGCTATACTAAGTCATTTGACATTCCATGTTAAAACTATTGTCAAGCTCATTGATTGCATGTATGCCGCCATAGTCCATCAAATCACTTTTTTTCTGGAGAACAAACTTTAGTCAATAAAGTTTTAATTTAGTATAAATCGGCTCGCCAATAGTCAGTTTGTGTGTCTGTGTAACTTTGCCATCATAGTATTTAAAAAAGCAATTTAAGATATTTTGTCAATGGTATTCCCTATGCTACAGAAGCATGAAATGTGAATTGTGGTGCTCAACTGAAGCCAATGCCTGTGGAGAAGGGCAGAGTTCCATGGCTCTGCATTGGTTTCCTGAGAAGTTCTATGCTCCTCAGTACTCCCAGCCAGAGAAGTTTTGTACAACCCTGTATAGCTCATATATACCAAAACACAACTTTCTATCCATTTCCTTCTGCTCTTTGAGCACCCCCTTGGAGCACATCTGAGTCTCAGATGGGGTGTTTGAGGGAGGGTGAAGGAAGTTGCAGTTACAATTTCAGGCTGCTGAACAAGAATGAGAACAAAGTTCTTATCTGAGGACTGGTGTCCTTTCATTATCCTTACTGGACCCTATGCATTCTGGAAACAAAGGATTGCTTCACAGGATCCAGAAGATGACAAAATGTGAACCCATATAGCAGCACTTCATTTTGATATATTCCAGGGTTCCCTAATATTTTGAGCTGAGAAGTAATTGCTCTACATGTCAGAATAATTGTGACCTGGCCTTTCTGTAGGCAGAACTCACACGTTTAACTTTTGGGTAGTTTTCTAAACAACTCATTTTATTGTCTTTCTGTGGCATATGATGATCTACAAGCATCCATAAGAAGCTGATACAGTGTTTGCTGCAGGTTGGCAGAACTATCTTGTTCCATACCAGAAAAGATCTGATGGACCCACTTTTTAAAAATGTGAATGTCCAGGAAACCATATGCCCCTCTTTTGAAATTCATTGTGGATTCTGAAAGCTCTAATGTCTCCTTCAGATGTAGCATGTTCTGGGGATTCTAGAGGTTTTTCAGTACAGTTTTGCAGATGCCTCCTAAAGCTATGTAGTATATTCACACCATGGTGGCAGAGGAGGATGCTGTAGCATGAGGCCTGTTGTGTTTAAAAAGCATCTAGAATGAAACAGTTATGTGACTGATTCCAGGAAGTCTTCAGAGCATTCTAGTATGACTTTACCTTGCCCAACCACAGATTCAAATGTGGCAAAGTTTGACAACATATATAGGAAGATCATTCTGCTGTAGAAAACTGCAATTCTGTCATTCCAATTTCAAGCTGGAAAGTAAAGCAGAGGAGCAATCAGGTGTGACCCAATATCTTTCACAGCCAGCATTGTAAAGTGGTAGCAAAGATATGGGTTCGACTAGATTGTCAAAGGTGCAGGCCATGAAATACTGGTAAGCTAGTTCCGGGTTGAGAAATACATGGAGATTTTGGGGTGGAACCTGAGAAGAAGGGGGGTTGGGGAGGGGAGGGACTTCAATGGGATTTAATACCATAGTGTCTACCCACCAAAGTGGCCATTTTCTCCAAGCAAACTGATCTCTGTCACCCAGAGATCAGTTGTAATCCCAGAAGATCTCCAGCCATCATCTGGAGGTTATTATATCAAACAAAGAAACACTGTGATAAAATTGACAATAACATTTAATAATTCCTATCAACATCAATTTGTCTATCAATTAAAACTTTTACAATATTGCTCAGGAATTTCTAACATGTTCAAGGAAAAGTCCAACATCCTCAATGAGCACCCGGTTATACACTCATTTCACCAGTTTTCCTCAGGAGTAATTGTATTTTGTTAGAAGGCGTCAGCCTCTTGATACAGCTTAACTTCTTTTTTTGCTTCCTTCAAATAGTTGCAGCTTAATGTCTTTTTTAATTTCTTTAGATTGTTGCAATTTAACTTCTTTTTTAATTTCCTCAAATTATCTTCCAGTTCCATTTCAAGTGTTTGAATTAGGAGCAAGCCAGTTAATTAATTTCTGATAGTAGCAACCAGTCCTCTTTTTTATCTGGCTAGAAACCTTCTTTTTTCAAATTGGCTGGCAAATGCTCTCTATCTCACATTGCTGGCTCAATTGCTCTCTAGTAGTTTATAGGAGTAAGATTTCAGTGTTCTTTTCTATCCAGCTGAAAGCCTTCATTTTAAATAAGTTGTCCTTCAGGGCCTATGCAGGGGGAACTGCAGTTTTGCAGCTGAAGTGTCTTCAGCATCTGAACCACAGTTTCGTACTGTACTGAAGACATAAACTTAATGTAAAAAGGAATTTCATCTTCAGCAGTGTGAACTGAATCTCAAGGTTGCTTCCATTTACTTCATTATACCTTAACACTGCTTTACTGATCTATGCTATTTGGTTCTTTATAGGGGTGACTTTTTTTGTTACAAGCTATATAATACAAAGTTAAAGCAATCTTAAAAAAATCTTTTCAAAGATGTCTGTGCCAAACTGTTCCCTTTCAGAACTCTCTATTCTATAATGTCAGACCTAGCTCTTTACTTCATTAATTAATTAATTTTGATCCATAATTCCTTAGTGTTACTTTTGTATTTTGTATAATTGTATGCTATGGTGTATTTTCACAACTTCAGTATTCGCCAGACTATAAATGAGGGCTAAAATTCAAAATGAGGGTAGCTTATTATTTCAAGGCAAGGGAGCTCTTCAAGAAGACATTAAATATTTGGAATGATGTGCAAACTCTACTAACAGTCTTTCCCTTATTCATGACAATGTATGCCAGCTTCCATATCATCAGAGCCCATGGGAACAAGGTGCATTCCTATAGAGAGGCAGGGTGGCTATCTACAGATGACCACCTAAAAACAGAGTCCTCAAAAAAGGACTAAAGTTGCATTACATTTGCATATGCTAATTCACATTCATAGTTGAAAATTTACACGTTATTACAACTTAAATAGAAATCCAAGTCATCATAGTGCCAGTGTCACCTGATCTCTGGGTGCTAAGTGGTGATAATAAACTTTTCCAGATCCCGACTATCTCTCTTTAATTCACTCCAAACAGCCAATATTACTTCAGCAGCAGGTAGATGTTCTGGAGTCTCATCTCCACAGCCACTTCAGTTGATTCCCCCCCCCCCCATTTTTTTGGACAGAAGCAGAACCTGGACATTTCAGAGGAAATGCCTCAATAAAGACTATCTGACCATCTGACCACCCTGCATAGAGGGGATTGCAGCTATAACAAGAGCTGTTGCACTAGTTAACGCACCA